ACAACTACTGTTTCCAACAATGTACAATACGACTTTATATTTTACAAGCCGATTTATGGTAGTGTGGGCGTCACAGCCATGTTATGCTTAAATAAAATGTAGTCTTCTTTACCTCTTATGTTTTCTTCAAATTTGAACAGAATAACCTTACCAATATGGCCGTCGTGTCGTCGAGCTAATGCAACACCCTTATTTTTGACATCCGACTACTCAAAAACACTAACGAATGGTTTAATGTAGCTGGGAAACCAGCCATAACATAAGTAAATTAAATGTTAGTTAATATCTAGGTATGTAAAGCATAGTAGATTAACAAAATCCATAATAATTGACGCCTATTTTTAACACATGCCATAATTGACAGTTAAATGTGACGTAGGCATTAACATTAAGTTGCATCTACACTAGGATAAAACGTGCAAACCTCATATTTCAAATAAGGACTACCTAACGAGTAAGTCATAAGAGCCTGCTTCGCCCTCAATACCCATTTTTACGAACACACAAACTAGCAGGCTCTTCAAATGTGTAGAGTAGAGGAAATTTATTTCCGACCCTATCTTTTAATATGACTTGACGCTAACAACGCGAAGTCAAAAACAAATTGCTATCCGAATTTCCATCATAAATGGGATAAGTTATTAATTCTATGACTTTGATTTGTTGTGTCTTTTTCACTGAAGGGAATAAACATAGAGACTATGATATAATACTCGTACGTGTTTTGGCCGAGGGCCTTTCTGCGAAGTTTTCTCCGCAAAGTTAATTTGCTAAATGGTACTGACATTTGCTTAATGTGCCGTAAATGAGGACATCTATTTGCGCCTGATATTAAAGGACATACTCTTGGCATTACAACTTACGTCACTGCATTTAATTTCATTGTTTTTAAAGGGTTGACACGCTCAACAAATTTAGTAAATCGTGCATAAATATAGATAGAATGAATAAATTTAACCCTTCACATTTAAGCCTGTAACGAAACTGTAATTTCCCAGCTCTGGATGTCCATGGCCGTGACTACCTCTGTGTTCCCGCCGCTCGTTGTCCCCTTTTCTTATAAAAAAAAGAGTATTTGTATGAAGAAAAGAGTGAATGGGTATTTATTAGGGTAGCGGGTACCATCTTTCGACCACATCTTCACTCTCAATAGTTGAGATCGTGGTTAATCGCTGGCTAAAAAAACTTAAAAAAAATTGCAGATACTATACATTTGAACAATTTAAAGGTAAATTGTTGTCTTAAACCCAGTACAGACGCTCAGTTATAACTGAAGAGTCGAACTGAACGCTGTAAGAAAATTGTTATAAAAATAACCTCGCAAAGCCTCGAAGCCGGATAATTGATTGCACGTCTCGGAGATGAGAACGGAGAATTATCAACTGACAGGGTTTCTATTTCATCTCCTTGTTTACGGTGAGTTTCCTTTACCTTTAGAAATATATTACCATCACTCTAGTTCTTGAGAAAACAAAGGCGAATTTTTATTAAATGGCTCTTGGCAGTTGATATGTCTATCTTACTAATATTATAAATGCGAAAGTTTAGATGGATTATTTTTAGAGTTGGTAGCTTAAACTGCTGAACAGATCTCGATGATTTTTTTTAAATTTGTTGTAAAGAAGTTTTGTTTTTTTTTAATCCCATGCAGACGAAATAACGGGCGAAAGGTAATTAATTATAAAAAATGTTATTTGACCAAAAATTGTATATGTTTTCTTATTGGGTCTTAAATCTGATAGTAAAAATTGAAAATAACGTAAAATTTTGACGTTTATGTATGAGTATGTACTATCTACTATGTACTATGTACTATGTACTATATACTATGTATGGTAAAGGGTCGGTGAACCTCATTAGGTTGCATTGTGAAGCCCTAAAAATTGTTATAGTCACATAACCACTCTATAGTTAATAGAATAAAAAATTACCTCTTCAAAAGCCCCTCGCATCTTGTAATTTATCTTGGCGGATCTCTCGAAGTGTAATTTTCTCTGACAGCGTAGTATTGTGGGATTTCATCTCATTCAGCTGAATTTGCCTTAAATAAATCACTAATGTGATTGACCTACGCTCATAAAGGGCGGTTGGGATAACTTTTGTTTCAATTTAAAAAAAAAACTTTTTACGCAAATCTCTTTTCTATGGCACAATTGTTTAGTCTCGTTTTGATTCTTATGAGCTTACTAGCTTTCGCTCGCGACTCCGTCCGCGTCGAATTGAAAAAAACAAAAGTGAGTAGCCTATGTGTTCTTCCAGACTATCCTCTACATCTATGCCAAATTTCATCGAGATCCGTTCAGCCGTTTAGGCTATGAACTCTAACAAACATCCATCCATCTATCTAAACTTTCGCATTTTTATATTAGTTTTTACTAATATATGTGTGCCCACACTATTCGATTTTTAGTTATGCAACTAAACAATTGAATGGGCTGCGAAACAATCGACAATCGCACGTTGTGGGCTACTTTAGTCGAAGATGTGCCTGTTCTTAAATTACACCCAAAAATTGTTTTAATTATTTTAGTAGTAAGCTTTGTTGTAAGGATTTAACTTACCTATAACACAATAATAAAATTGTTTATACAAGAATTGTTATGAGATTGAAAACATTTTCATTATCATTATTGATTTGAAGTATTTGATTTCAGATATGACGGCTGATAGAGATGTATGGAAGAGCAGCACATACTGTGCCGAGGCTCCGTAAGGGATGAGGGCAGGTGGATGATGAATTATTAATTTGATGTGAATTTTATTTTTCCAAATAATTTATATTTTTGATATCACTGTAAAAGGAATTAACAGTGGTAGTGCCCGCTTTAACATCTTAGCACGCATGGGTCGGCACGCCCGGTGTAATACCACGACCACACAGAAGTCAGGCGTGAAATGGAATTAATTCCGTGTTTCGTCTGATGAGTATGGTGCCGGAGGCCTAATTTAAGTCCCTTTCTCTTTACCACCCTTTTCTTATAAGGATAGGATGGGAAGGGGAAGTGGATTTGACGGTGGAGGAGATGCATAGGAAGGGGCAATATCCTCTTTATGTGCGTCTCCTCCTCCGTCGGATAAGGGTAGGCAACGCATCTGCGATCGCGGATGTCTATGTGCAGCGGTCGCTTCGCCATTTTGGCGGATTCAGGTGGCCGTTTGCTCGTTTTCCACCTTATGTTATAAAAAAAAGGAATATAATAAAAAAAGCTTTTTAGTATTAAATATAATTTAATTATAAACTGAATCAACAATGGCAATTGAGTTAATTAATTCAAAAATATAATTTTACAATATAAACAATATCTTTTAAAGATATTCATTTTACAAATCATTATAAAATTTAAAGTAAACTAAATAGACTGATTATATACAAATTCTTACATTTCTGTTTTAGGACAATCGTTTGAAAAATAATTTTATATTGCAGAGAAATCTTTATCTATGGCACATGTATAATTTTCAGAATATCTCGTATCTATTTTTAAATAATTTGGAAATAAATTCAGAACACAAGTATTGATAATTTCAGATAATTGCACCAAATTACATTTAATTATTTACAATTTTATATAAAAAAAGTTAAAAAAACTACTCATAAAATATTTATATAGTAAACTTAATTTAAATAGCAATTTTAAAGCCTTTATAATACAAATTGTGTATTCTTACAATTTATATACATTTCAATAAGTGAAAATTTACAATAAAAATTCAAGATTTTGCACCACTGGGGACATAGCACGAAAATTTGCGAGATAGTATTCGTAACAAAATTTGTCGATGCCGATTTGTGCAGTGTTCCTATCCGGCGTAAAGTACACCGACAAATCAATACAAACGTCCATACATCATATACAGGTGTATACTTTAACGAGAACTTTCGCACTATGTCGCGTTCTCACAATCGATTTATTTCTAAGTTTTTTAATTAAAAGACAAAGTCGCGAGCAAAAGCTTGTTGTTTATATTTTCTTAACTGCATACGTTTTATATTTTCAATCGTCACGCTTAAAGTTCTTTTACTAAGATAGTAAGGTATTGCTCGCTATTTCTTGACAGACTTCCCAAAAGATGGAGGTACTCAATTCGTCTGTATACTATTTTTGAAGGATTAATAACCGCTTTTTTTAAAGCTTTGTAGGAACCTAATAAATACATAGAAAAAACATATTTACATGTTAGTATTAGGATATACACAAATTGCGATATAATTTACTTATTTAATAGTTACTTTAGATTTCGAGCCCTATGTAATAAAAAAAGCATTTTTTTATTTTTTTAATGCATTAGAACAATGTTTTGTTTTATTTGTTTACAATTGAAGTAAATGTTAAGTACTATTAAATATTCTGAACTGGAAATTTTCTACACGTTTGTTGAAAACGTGAGTAAAATCACCTTTTTTTAATTTAAAATCTTGAAAATCATCCTACCGTTATAAACCGTAACGCAATCCATCAACTGTAAGCTTTTGAAATACGGAATACCTTAAAATAAGTTTCATTTCATTTATTTTACTGGTAGCTGAATACTGAATAAAGTTGAATTTTTTAAATAATTTAAAACACGTCATGAACACGAGCTTTTATTTAAAAAGCTTTTTATAATAAAGCTTTGTTTTCAGGCGTTGTCATAACCGCAGTATACGCGAGCTTTTTATACTAAATTAAAAAGCTTTTAACCGTTTAATTCCAATTATATCGAAATTGCAATATTGTACGCTAAAAAATATAGCAATTTTTATTTATTCTTTTCACCCCAGTATTGACAACGATGAGGATATTTTTAACAGTAAACAACCCTCGGGGTCCGTTTTTCACTGGAGCTTATTTAGACGGGCAGTCGGGTAGCCTTACGTGACTGGAATTTTGCCAGACACTAACCCCATAGTCATTGTGAGTTATTATGATGCGGTAATATAAAATAAATTGGCGTCTCTGAGCTAAAAGAAACCAAACACACACCATCAATATATCACACAAAAGAAATCACAGAAGAAATAAAGAAAAGATATTCTTGAGTTCTATTATCTCACTTTAGTGTGTCCACACCTTTATAAACATATTTGTGAAAACTATATCTTGTCCACTGTAATGTAACCCCCACTTTAAGTGCTTTAGCATTGTATTGTTTTTTTCACTCACACACGGTATCAGCAGAATCCAGGGTTCGTGTGTTCAATAACGCATCGCTTGCAGTATTTCTTGACGGCGCGGTATCCGCGCAACGTGACCGGCGTGTCTTGTATGTTGAGCTGCGTGAGGCCGCGGCAGTAGTATGCCACCGCCTCCAGACCGTCATCACCCACCAGCTCGCAGCCGCGCAGAGCTAACTTCTTTATGTTAGGACAGCAACGTGCGAGGATCTAGAATGTGTTAACGGCATTAGAATTATGATTATACTAGGTGTTATGAAATAAAAAAACTTTATTTATTGTTTTCATTTGTTAAATTCTCAATTGCAAATGTCAAAATTTCTATTACCATAATAACCTTGCTTCCTTAACGTTTAAAGCTTGTAGTTTATGGTCTTTTACATATGGTTTTTTCCAATTTATTTACCCCTAAGTTTAATAGCATGAAAATACATAGCTTAAACCGTGGCGAAAGTGTAGGGCTTTTAATAAATAAAAAGATATTCAAATATAAGCTGTGGTTGCTGTCATCCTGCGCCACAAAGTAGTGTGTGTTTACGCTTTATTATAGTAGTATAGAGGAGTAACAGAGGTGAACTGACAAGTATTATTATTAAATTTGATATAGATTTATTGATCAGAATAGTAAGGTTTGAAATTTATTTAACTCTATTAAAATGCAGTTTCTCCTTCATCAAATCCACTTCCCCTTCCCAATATTTTATCAGAAAAGTATTAGGAAACAGAGGACTAAAAAAAATACTGCAAGAAAATCAGAAGAAACTCGAACTTCTTCACGCATGTCATCTGTGTTATCGTAGTATTGCACCAGTCGAGCCGTCCTATTAGATCATATTGTGGTCTACTACTAATAATATCCTTCCAGTTATCTTTCCATTGTTATTACAAGTCACCTGTAAGCCAGCTTCAGAGACATCAGTAGCGCCGAGGTCGAGCGCGCGCAGCCGGGAGCAGCCGCGGGCAATCGCCTCCACGCCGTCGTCGCCAACCGCCCCGCAGCCGCGCGCGTTCAGGTACCGCAGCTTGTAGCAGCGGCGCGTTAATGTTCTTATACCGGAATCTGACACCTATTTAAAAATAATTATTAATTAAATCTACACTAATATAACAAAGCGTAAACACATACTACTTTTTGGCGTAAGATGTCAGCAATTACAGCACATTTTTGAATAATACTTTCTTTAATAAAAAGCCCTACACTAACGACACACTTTAGGCTATATATTTTCACGCTATTAAACTTAGAGGTTAATAAATTGTAAAAAAAAAACCTTCACGTGGGAAAGCGACCATAAACTACAAGCTCCCACCATCAAGGAAGACAAATGTAATCAGTTAAATAAAATTTTCATAATTACACGAGAACAGCTAGTTAAGATATAATTAGAGTACACACAGTAGATATGAGGTTATACTTACATGACGCCAAAACAAAGCTTCATGCTGTTCAACATATGGTTAACTTAACGGCTTAAAATTAGAATCTGAAGACCCAAACGCTAGAGATAACTATTTAATGTAAGCATTTCGGATAGGGAGACAATTTGATTCACTTAGAAAAAAAAATGGATTAATTTAGTATAACCTCATCATTATAATGAATGCTAATTTCGCCAGTACTTATGCAGTGTTACATTTAATTCAAAGGGACTTGTTAACCCGAGTGCAGGTGACCAGTATAAGCTGACCTGTGAGCATTTAGCGACAGAAAGGTATCGTAGCGCGGGGCCCAGCCTTGCCAGCTCGTACAGGCCGAAGTCTGTGACGCCCGTACAGTCAGACACACTCAGCTCCTTTAGCGCGCAATACGACGGGATCCATCGTACGCCCGCGTCTGGAAACAAAACAATAACAGAATTAGATAAATAGAAATAAACTGAAAAAAGTTCTGTCTACAAGCAATTATTCCTTTACTAGCTGTCACCCACGAATCCGTTTAAATGAAAAAAATAAAACAAGTGGCCTATGTCTTCGTCCTGACTTTGTTCTACTCGTAGATCCATTTGGGTGGCAAACTCTAACAAACATCCATCCATTTATAATACTAGTAAGATTCATCAAAAAGACATTCTTCGTATTGACGTTCGCTATGCAAAGGAGTGTAGCTTATTATATAAATATTCCAATAAGACGGGCCACCGTGCAACAAAGGCTTCAGTCAAGATTCGCTGCAAAGATAATCTAATAAAGTCGTTGCAAAACTAAGCGAAGGCAATCACCCACCGACGCCTGTAATGCGGCGTAATGACGGGTTCATATTGATATTTAATGGTAAAATGACTGGCCGAGCCGCGCACAGATGCAAATATAATAACTGTGATTTATTAACGGACGCAGGACTTTATAGGTGATGATTTATGGCGCTGTGAACTTTACCTGGCCATATTTATTTGTATATAACAGCCACTTTGCTTTTATATTACGAAATATTTTCTTGAGAATATGGGGTATGTTATTCTCAGATTTAATTAATTTTAGATACTAATAAAACGACATTGAAGTCTCAAATTTGACACAGTTTTGACAACTAGATGCCACATGAACTAGGGCGTCGATTTCAATCAAAGAATGAATATGAGAAACCGTGTCGTGTTTGTAATGTTGTACAATATCAGGCAAAATCAACGCAATGCAACATCACCGTGATTTACCTGACGCCAACAATCATAACAACATAATACAAAATTTAGTACTAAGTATGATGAAAATATTTAGTTAAAGGGCTTATTACTAACTAGCTATTGTTCGCGACTTCGTCCGCGTGAAATAAAAAAATAACCAAAAAATATAGCCTACTGATAACGTAGTTTCTTAACGGTAAAATCACTTTGAAATAAGCCCAGTATTTTTCGAGTTACTTTAATACATACAAAATCTAAATATACAAATCTTTCCTCTTCATAATATTAGTATAGACTAACTGTGGCCCGCAACTTCGTCTGCACAATATTACGACAAAAAATAGCTTATAATATGCCCGTCTTATGTCAGGTACCCTTCAGTAAAGTCCGGTCAAAGTATGGTCAACCGTTTCGGAGGTTACCCGGAAGAAATGCGGCTCGCGGACCGACAGACAGACATTTTAAAATGCGATTTTCATTGTCAGTAACGCAAATACATAATTTTTCCAAAATCTGGGGTTTTTTTTTTATATTACATACAGACACTTCAATTTCATTATATGTATAGATAGATATATTACCTGTGACTAGAATACACCGTCTAAGGTAGAGGTACTGCAGGGAGGGGCAGGTGTGCAGTAACGCGCAGAGTCCGGCGTCACTCACGCCGCCGCAATCCGTCAAGTCTATGTATTCCACGGGAGGTCTTCTCGTTGCCAGCCTGCTCTCCAGCCACGCCCACTCAGGCCAGTCTACGTTCGGACATCCTGTGTAACATATATAAACTATGGTTTTAATTGATTCTACTGTTGTATGCAGAGCTTTGATAGTAATAGAATCATACTATGCTAGAAAAAGAATTAAATATATAAACATATAAACAACAATCAGTGTGAATTGTTACATTAAAATTAAATAAAAATACGACTAACAATAGTTATTTATAGCAATAGACGTATTCTTAGAGCAGGCGTACACCTTTCGATTGTCGATTGTTTCACAGTCCATTCAATTGTTTAGTTGCACAACTATAAATCGAGTAGTGTCCTCAATTCATATAAGCTCATGGAATTAAAACACGACTAAACAGTTGTGCGATAGTTTAGTCAAAGGTGTGCGACCGCACTAAGAAAACTTACAAATTTTTAGTTATTTATGGTTATTGATAATAATTCACATGTACATAGTTCTTACAATAAATTGTTCTAGTTTTAGTAATAATATTAACCATGCTATACCGTTGCCATATATTGAATTTTCCAATTTAATCTAAAACGATTTAACCTATCGATTGTCTGAACAAATATTTGCACGAGTGTTGCCGTATTTGGCAAACTAAACGTTCAATATTTATGAACGGCAAAGGCTTAGCGGGTATTTCTTAATATCTGTTCATAAAATATATTTGACTTCAATACAGTACAGTTAAGCTGCTAAATTCTCATAAATCATAACTATATTAAAAATATATTTTCGTTCTCCTTAATCAGATATTCATTTGTTGGCATGTAAGTTAATTAAAATAAAAAAAATAAAAAAAATAGTGTTTAATCCTTGTCAACACTACAAGCATAAATCAAAAAAAGTAATTAAACACAAAATAATGAGAAACGTAACAAATGAAATGAAAAAAAGAAAAAAGAAACATTTAAAATTAGCGTTGCAATGCTGACTGGATTGGGTCCTCGCTCAGCTATAAATGCTGGATGCTCCTATTGAAGTACCAGCAATTGACGGTATAACTTTTACCAAGTTAAATTTAAATTATCAAGAGGCAAAGATTTAATCTAAAATCTTATATCTCACAATTACTAGCCTTTATAATAACTAAGCGAAACACTATTCCATTAAAACTTCTATATTCTTTACTAAATTGAACGCAATTTTCGTCCTTTAATTTTGAAAACATACATGTAAGTAACTTCGTTATTTCTTTATTAGATTTTATTTGCTAAAATTAAAAAATGTTCTAAAAAAGCTGAAAAGAAATTTAATGAGCATTATTCTGAGAAAATGTAATTACCAGTCTTGAAAAGAATTGAAGTAATTAGGGAGTAAAAGTTCTAAGAAATAAAATCATTTATAAATAGTATGTTTCTGTCTCAAAACATAATACCAAAAATAATTTTAAAAACTCCATTAACTTCGAATGAGAGCGTTGATTTTATTAACAAACGTAGTCAATTATCCATCTTTAGTCTTCTGTTCATAATATAGTAAAACTTTAAATCAGAAAATTAAAAACCCACAATACTATAGTCAACTAACAATCGCAGCCCTTTAAAAAATAGGTATAGTTAACACCTTAGCTGTTTTAAGCTATGTATACATTTAAAATTACACTATAAGTAACTTTCGCCCGCGACTCCGTCCGCGTGAAATTAAAAGAACAAATGTAAGTATCCTATGTGTCATTTCAGGACATATTCTACATTTTCTACATCTGCACCAAATTTCATCGAGATCCGTTCAACAGTTTAGGCTACATTTTACATTTAGGTATTTATAATATCAATAAGATAATATTACCAGTGAGATCAAGGTGCCTCAAGTCCACCAGATCCGTGACGATAGGGGCGAGTGCTCTAGCATCCATACTGGCCGCGCCAGTTATCGCTAGGTGCGTTAGATTCCTGAATGTCGCTGCTAGGAGCTGTGCCCCTGGTACCGTCACCTGAAAACATAGAATTGTAAAAATGAGCAAAAAAGAACAGACTGATAACCTTATTAGGATGTTAGTTAACAATTTATATGAAATGCAAGAGACAGCAAGAAAAGAGTGAAGAAGGAAAGGGCCATGTCTTACTATGTACAATATGCAACTATTGCTAAAGATAAGTATTGAATGTAATTTGTAGAAAGAAAGCGTGAAATAGATGACCTTGAAGCGCGTATAGGATTGCTTAATAGGATTGAATAAACAGTGGAATTGGCTGCCAAACAATCGACAATCGCTCAAGTGTTGTGCGATAGTTCAGTCAAAGGTGTGCGTCCGCTCTTAAGATCAGATTTTAATTTAATCAATATTAAACAAATAGCTGTTCCCGTGCGGCTTCATCCGCATGAAATTATGAAAATTTTATTTTGTTGTTTACATTTGTCAAATTATCAATAGCAAATGTCAAAATGACATGACAAACCTTGGCAATCTCACTTTCTAGATGTTGGCAGCAACTTATGGTCTCTTTCCCACATTAGGGTTTTTATCCAAAATGTTTACCCTCTAAGTTTAATGGCGTGAAAATATATAGCCTAAAGCGTGACACAAGTGTAGGGCTTTCTATTAAAAAAGGAATTATTTAAAAAAATGCTGTAATTGCAGACATCTTAGGCAACAAAGAAATGTGTTTTTTCGCTTTATTATAATAGTATAGATAAAGATTTGTAGACAACAAATCAGGTGTAATCTTACTACTAACATATTAGTCATTGACGTTTTTAAATAATCGTTACTACGTCTCATACATAATTTAACCATTACAGTAAATCTCGTGATCATTGAACGATACGTGATTGAATTACCAAAGCAATGTTCTTATGAAAGTCCAGTTATGTGTTACTCTTATCGACTTGATCAATATTTACAACTTGGGAATTAATACCTTGATATTACTGTTTTCGCCCGCGTCTCCGTCATCGTGGTATTTAAAAAAAACTAAGTAGCCTATGTGTTCTTCCAGACTATCCTCTACATTTATGCCAAATCTCATCGAAATCCATTCAGACGTTTAGGCTACAAACTCTAACAAACATCCATCATTCCATTCATTCATCTAAACTTTCGCATTTATAATTTAACATAGATGTAACGTCCGAATAAAACAACAATTAAATATGTTGTGCGATTGTCGATTGTTTCTCAGCCAATTCAACAGTTTAGTTGCACAACTAAAAATCGTGTAGTGTGCGCATATAAGCTCATAGGAATCAAAGCGCGACTAAACAGTTGTGCGATAGTTTTTTTTTTATAACATAAGATGGCAAACGAGCAAGCGGCCACCTGAATCCGCCAAAATGGCGAAGCGACCGCTGCCCATAGACATCTGCAATTGCAGATGCTTCGCCTACCCTTATCCGACGGAGGAGACGCACATAAAGTGGATATTTCCCCTTCCTATGCATCTCCTCCATCGTCAAATCCACTTCCCCTTCCTATTCTCTCATAAGAAAAGGGTGGTAAAGAGAAAGGGACCTTAATTAGGCCTCCGGCACCACACTCATCAGACGAAACACGGCATTGGTTCCATTTCACGCCTGTCTTCTGTGTGGTCGTGGTATTACTGGGGGCGTGCCGGCCCATTCGTGCTAAGATGTTAAAGCGGGCACTACCACTGTTAGTTTACTCAAAGGTGTGCGCGGTCTTATCACGCAAGTCGCAATGTCAGCACGAATGAGCATATTCAATATCCTCGCCCATTAGCATTGCCTTCAACTGAGCTTTCCGCGAACACAACGTGACTTTGAAGCCGTTATTCTAAACAAAGGAAATATTTTCCGGTAAATTTGAACATACTGTGTCTTGTTAAAATTCTTCGATAATAGGGTCAAAAGGAATGTTTAGAGCAATCATTTTTTATTCTATTTTATTTATTTAGTCAGGATAATTACAATTTTCTTTAAAAAGTTTACTTTCTATTTATTATTTTACTGTAGAGGGAATAGGTAAAAGTGTTTTTTTTTTAATGTGTAAAATTATATGCATTTTAGACAGAATGAATTAACACTATTTTAAAAGTAAGGGCACAAAACAAATCTTATATTCAGGGCCACCAAATTGTAAATCTTCTAATAACAATCGAACGTTTAAATATGTGAGGAAAATACCGAATTTTGTTCCCTTATGACAGTGGCGTCATTTTAAATCTATCTGAGTTATCAGCTAGTGGACTTAGTATCCTTTAAAAACCCAGAATATGTACTTTCTTTAACATTTGTAGCTCCTATGTATATTATGAATGTCACTTTCTAAAGTTATATAAACATATGAGATTTCGTGGTAGTAAAAATGTCCTAATTAAAAGTTATCTTGTATAGGCGCCGTTTAATGAACGTATCCGGTAATTGGTATATTTAAGGCGTGGCGCTACCAACAGGTTTGTGATTGATTACTCTATTAAAATAACGTATGTTTAAACGAAAGTTGAAACAAAAATTTTATAAATGGAGCAAGTGATTTTAGAAAGTAATTAAATTTGGAAAAGAAATTTTTATACCCAGTACTTGATTCCCTTTCGGTACTTACGAAACAAAATTCGCAACCAGGTGAAAGAATAATCTACACTAATGTTATAAAGAGAAAAGATTTGTATTTTTTTGTGTACTGAAATAACTCAAAAACTACTGCGCCGATTTCAAAAACTCTTTCACCATTAAAAAGCTTTGTCATTAGTGAGTAACGTAGGTATAATTTTTGACTAACAAATTTCACGCGGACGAAGTCGCGAGAAACAGTGAATTATAAAGTTGAGAAGATGTTTTATAAGTTCGTCTTCTCTCAGAGCGGAGAACAAATAATTGTTAACGGCAAAGTTGTAGGCTAACATCTAAGATAGAATGCCGGTAAGGCGCAACATTTTTTTTATATATTAAGTTACGATTAAATGCATTTTATAGTATCTTTAATTTAAATTGTCACCTACTAAAACTACAAAACATACCACACAATTTTTGATCCGCCATTCTCTTGCCGCGGTGACGCAGGGACCTGCGCGTGCACCGGCGCAACGCGCTGCCAACTCCAATGCGCCGGCTGCACGTACCCGCCGCCACGGCTCCGGTTGCGCCGCCAACCGCGCCGCGAACCGCGCCCAGCGGCGGCATACGCGTGCCATGCGGCATAGCTCCGATATCTAGATAATTATAATAAATTAAATTCCAATAAGGTGCAACTAAGAACTAAAAGGTTGTACAAACTAGAGTGATAATGCAAGATAGATTAAGAGAACTATTATGTCATAACATAATTATTATGTCATCAAAAAGCTAGGGGTTTTTAAGGATAGTCAGATTTCTAAATTATTTAAACTTTTAAACCGTTCTGTAGTATTTGTATATAAAGGTTACATAAAGCTACATCGTAAAGTGTAGAGTTCGCAGCGATGCTATCTGATGGAACATCAAATCCAAAACGAATGGAAACCTTGAGTTGTTTCCAAATACCAATAATGTTATTGCGAAAACTCATTTGTTTTTAACAACTATTTGTAAAGAATATGTGCAATAAAAATATGAATGTAAAACTAAGAAATGTCGTAGTAATTTTAAGGAACATTTGCTTTATCGTTTTTATTTGTAGCTTAAATACAACAGAACTAACAATCCTCATTGTAAAAATGTCTTTTTTTCGTTTAATTATGTCTTTATAATTTTTGTGTATGTTATTTCTAAGTGATATTATGTTATTAAGGATTAAATTTTATTTTTTTTAATATAATCATTTGCATTTGTTCAATCTAGAGAACCGAAAAATGTAAAATACACTATAATTATGTAGCTTACATCTAAATACGAAAGGATCTTCAACCAAAGGGCATCACTGAGCGTGTTATCTCGTCTTCTTCTGGGCGGGCCGCAGTCTGCTAGCGTGTGGTAGCCCTGGTCCAGACTCAACTCGCTGAGGTCCGCCGCGAGGGACAGCGCGGGCTCCGGCGGCGGCGGGGGCCGGCGCCGCGCTCCGCCGCACACCCCCGGCCCGGAGCAACCCCCGCTTGACATCGTGCAGATCTGTAGAGAAAAAGATAATGAATGAACAAGAATAAAGTTAAATACACTAAAACGTCAATAGATGGCGTTGTTTAAAAAATTCTCGAAATGCAAAACTTCTCTTGTTTGCAATTTCAGTTTTAAATCTGACAATAAATGATTTTTATACCAGTATTATTATACAACCGCAATAATTAATTCCATACACAATGTTAACGAAACCTTAAATTTAATTAAGGATCTATTGTAATTTATAACAAACACTTAGCATGGGGTAACAATACTATAGTTCGGCTTTACGTAATTAAGTCGCCATAGTTCCCATGGTTATTGCTTACTGCACAATTACTTTAGTTTTTGTCGTGATTATTAAATAAAAAAAAAAAAACAAAACCCAATAAATCATCTATTTTCAATTACCACGAAAGACCAGCACATTTGCCGAGTGGTTTTACATAAATAGATAAATAAAAGAATAAAATAAATATACAACCGCATCCTACAATAAATAAATTTAATCTATAATTTAACTAGATAACAATATGCAATTAAGATAGACATATAGTAATGGTATATAAATATTAACGTATTAAAACTAAAGGTGCAATAAAGCAATAAAATCCAATTGCATGAACCAATCTAAACAACTCAATGTCTAACGTAGCACATAGCTGAATACATTGTCTGAACGACTCACGATTCAGAGAAGCAGCCCCATTCGCGCTGGATGGTTATAAAGCTGTCAAGAGGTTTGCATATCTAATTTACAGGTCAATTATCATTCCCACTGATGTGGTATGTGGGTAGAAACAATTGATTGTTCGTAGCTTCGCAGCAGATTCATACTGACCTTATTTTCCAATTAAACTTGTACAATGGCATCGTAAATCATACCGTGTCTTTGTTTTTAAATATCACTCATAATTTTTTTCACGCTTTTATTATCTTGAAGTAATTATCTACGTATTGATAACTTTGATAGGGTTTTTTGTAGTACATATTTAAAAATAGATATGGTTTATCAACTAAAAGATGTAATTTCTAATTTAACTATTGCCAGAGTAAAGACAAAAATCAGTCGGTATATTTATAAAAATTGCGAATTAACGCCATCTAGTTAAGATAAAAAGAACTATAAATAAGAAAAAGTAAATACGATCGTTAACTGACTTACCAACCATTTTGAATTTCCAAACATTTTAATTTTTAAATAATAACAAAAAAGAATTAAAGGAAAATTAAATATAAATTTAACTTATATTTTTATTATTACATTATTTAATACTCTCTCCGTCTAAAAGACTCCGTCCGCGTGGAATTAAAAAAAAACAAAAGTGAATAGCCTATGTGTTCTTCCAGACTATCCTCTACATCTATGCCAAATTTCATCGAAATCCGTACAGCCGTTTAGGTTACAAACTCTAACAAAAATCCTTCCATCCATCCATCTAAAATTTCGCATTTATAATAGTATGAAGTATGATTGTTCCAGAATTTAAAAAATAACTTGTTATACAGACTATGTTACAGAAACTGTCTGAATTTAGTTTGTCATAGTATGAAATGCAAAGTGCATCTTCTGCCTCAGTCGACCTCAATTAGCACTAACAAGGTTTGAATCAAATTCAGAAGCAATTTCACAAAGCAAACTCGACGTTCTCGGTCATGATTAAAATTGTGAATTATTCAGCCCTATTCACTACGTAACTGACACAAATTAACAAATTATCTTACTTTTTACTAGTTAATATCATTATAAAGAAGAACACATAGGCTACTCACTTTTGATTTTTTTTAATTCCACGGGACGGAGTCGCGGGCGAAAGCTAGTATTCCATATATTAATATCCAGATGTGTCCATTGAACATTATCGCTCGTTAATATCCCTCGTGTTAATCTAATCTAAGTAAGTTTGAAGACGCCAATTAAACAAACTAGTTAATTGCACTTAACGGATATAAACACATTCTTTATTTCGGCATTTAAACTTTAATGCGGATGTTACTTGAATTCTTTAGATTAAGTAAATTTTAAGTAAGTACAAGTAATGTTTTAATTGTTAAGAATGTCATATAATAATAGCTTTAACTGTGTTTTTTTGTTATGTACCGTTTTATTTAAGCTTATTATTGAACTTTGTGCTAACTTTAAGTTTAAAAATAAACGAGAGACGTGACCTGTCAAAATTACAAAGCTTTTAATAATCGATACAGATTGTCAACCGCCCACGCTTAAAAGTTCTGTAATCTGAGTCGAGCTTTGATCTTTTCCGACACTCAAATGTATTTATTGAACATTCACTTCCGCAAACATAAAATGAATGGCGATTACGATTTTAATAGGCGTACACACTTAATAGACCAGTCTAGAATCTAAACAATTGAAGGGGACTAGACTATGAAGTGCAAATTCAAATTTCTTAACAAAAAACAAGTATGTACTGTTAGGAACAAAATTAGCACCGTGCTGTAGAGTTGGCGCAACTCTAGATTATCGGCATAAACGTCACGTACCTAGCTGACAGCTGTCAATGTCATTAGAAGTATAGATAGATTGGTTCGCATCGGAGTCTGGCGAGAAGTATTGCTCTGAGTTTAAAGCGACAGTATCAATTAAATAAGTTGTCTAATAGTACCTGCACAGTTAACGTTTTGTCTACACACAATTTAACTGAACAGTCGAACTGTGAGACAGAACAGAGCGGATGTAGCGAGCTTTAGTCTACTTTCGTACTAACTCAAGGAAGTGAGAAACATAAGGGCCAAATTCTAAAACGAATTTTAAATACTTTGCTTAATAATTTGTCAAGCGTAAACTTTTTAATAGAATTTGAAGTTAATTTGGACACTGTTCCATATTAGAATGTTGTATCAATATTTATCCGTAAAAGTTTTAAATTAAGAACTAAGTAATTAAAGTGATCATTTCTAATCTTAAATCTTCCAAAATCATCTTGCTTCAGGTGAATCTATCGAGTTGTAAAAACATTTATCACGTCATAACGAAGGTTACTGCAATGATTCTGTCAATCTTCTGGATATCTAGGTTAATGTGATACCTTAAGATGGACGACGGCGCCAACATTCACTGAGCCCACGCATCGCCTTCGGCAAACCCGGCTTAAGACCACAAACTGAAGAATTCTAAGGACAAACTAAGTCTCTGAGGCAATAGCTCTTTATACGTTCTTTTACTTTCCAGGATTTAGATTTTGGACTCTTGAAAATAATAGTGGAAAAAGTTACCAAGTTCATTTATATTTTAAACCTGTTATTAGTTTTAGCAAGTAAATAAGTTTAAAATCTTTGCATCGTTAGTAATTTGTTGCCAAAATTAGTCATTGAAACATTGTCACCCTATAGTCCTACGCGATCACCTCGTCATCGTTCGTGTCGTTTAATCGGAATGTGACAAGGGTACTTTGGCACCGATTAATAAATCCACGCTTAGCTCAAAGCTAGATCGATGTGATTATTTGTAGTAATAAATCGTTTCAATATTCGATTGGTTACAAATTTCGACTATCGATATTTAGTGGTCAGACGGCCGTGGATCAAGTAATTGCTGTCATGTTTCGAAATAGAAGGTCTCCGATATAAATCATATTACAGGTTATTTTATGCAAATTATAAAATTTGATAATAGATGGACTTCGACGCTTTAAATTGTTTTTGTTTAAGAATTGTTAAATGGCTTAATATAATGTTACGAATAGCAATAATACTTTGTGTCTGCAGCCGAAAAATTGTTAGAAAAACAGTTTTATACTTTTCATGTTGAAAAACAGACGCAATAATAGTTTTAATACAAATGTTTGATAACGGTATTTAATAGTACAAATGAAGCTTAAATACGATCTTTATTCTTCTACATTATTATTAATATCTACATATATGAATACATTTTTTAATAAACCTTTTTTACAACTAGTTAATTTAATTAGCCTAATAATTAAATAAGATAAAATTGCTGCAAGAAAGAGACAAGATTTACTGAACAATAGCAGCATAGAAGCAACGTCGCTATGGTTACTTGGATTCTGAGACAATGGCAAGGGCCTGCATTTAAGCATTTGAATTTTAAATATTTGTAAAAAGGAGATTTTTAACGAATGTAAACAATAAAATAAAGTTATCTTTCAAAGTGTGATTACCATAATTTATGTAAGTACGTCATTCCGTAATCTTAAAAACACCTACATTACAAAATAGAAGAGAGTAAAATGCCAATGTGGGTGTCTCGGGACCTTGCGATTGATTGTTTGAAAAATGAATTTGCACTTAGCTATACACACTAAAGTTTTGTTATCATTTGAAAAATATTTTAACTATTACATTTTAAATAAGAATGCATAAAACCGTCAAATATTGAGGACTAAGGGCCTGTCTCACCAAATTGTAAATTGTCTGATAACAAACTGACATGGAAAATATGTGATGGATATACTAGATTTTCTTCCGTTATTTTATCTAACAGTGACGTCATTTTTAAGCTATCTGAGCCGCTATCCACAACTGGCTGGTGGGACCGGTCCTTTGTCTTCTTTTCAAAATAAAGAATAATAAGAGAAACATAATCACACAAAGGGAGTAACTTAAATTAGCACATAAGTTTATATAAAATAGATTTAACATTCAATTTAAAATTTGGACCCGAAGAAATCGCGCGTAAAAGCTAGTTAATAACAGAATAGAAACGCACAAGAAACGATTGTGAGATAAACAAATATTGTAGATGCTTTACGAAAAAGAAAAAACAATTATTTCATTTGAAATCGCAAGCAAAATAGCGTTAAAGTCTGGTTAATTGATTTATTTTCCGTAGCAAGTAGCAAACAAGTTTTTGTCAGGCTTCACTTCCCAATAAACTTTATAGCGTTTATTTTTTATAATAAACAAGCGGTCCTATTAGATCGCTGCTCGATCACGCGTTAATAAATCAGTTGAAGAAAAAATCTTTATCGCCCTGCCTTTAGTTACGGTTTTGTTTGCGTGAAGGTCATGTTGTTTAAAGATTAAAC